TGTATATGCTAATGCCTGTCACTTCAGCGCATGTGCCTAATTATTTTTCTTTCATGCATGGGTGCCCTGTTTGCTCAAGGTGTTGTGAAAAGTTGCCAAGAAATAAATTCAACTGTTTATGAGAATCATTATGTGGTTCAATGTTTGTTTCCCTGGCACCCTCCAAGATCTGTAACTTGGAGCTCAATAGCTGTTTTCTGGTGCTTATAGATAGAAGTATTTAAATACATCTTCAATGCATTGTTTAGAAAATGTACATGACACAGAATGCTTTTCTAGTATTGAGAAACTTATAGGAAAAAAGAAAGGGAACTATCATTTGAAGACTGCTAAGGTTTATTGTGTGACTGGGATAGTGTTACATTCCCTCAGTGCTGGTTATAAAGATTATAATTAAATGGGCGGTCTCTGGAGGCTTCTGACCAACTCAGAAGCATTTCTCCTTCTTGTATTTCAGACACTGCCTTCCCTAAGTGGGTGTTGGAAAAGCAACATAAGAAGACCTTTGAAGCCACACAATGTCTGGCCTATCTTGGCTAACTGTGTTGTAATATAACTACCATTATAGCAGGTAGCAGGATAATGCATGTCAGCAACAGTACAATTCCACATTTCATTTATAGCAGGGAACAGAATGTGCACTACTGAGAAACCACTTCCTCATTGACTAGAGAAAAGTGACAGCTGAATCAATTGCTGACCTGGTAGCAATATCCAAAGGACGACCAAGCTGCACCATTTTATCAGAGTAATACATAAAATCCTGAGCCTTTTAATTCAAATGGGTAAGCTCAGATGTTCCTCTTTTTCTTCACATAAGCTCCCAGCAGTCTATTTCATGACTCCTGACAATAACATCTAGCCTGGTTCTCCAATATGTATGTGAATTCAGAGTCAAAGACTACAGACAAAAGGGTAGGGGTAGGGGTAGGGAAACCATGACTCACCTACTAAGCATGCATTGGTAGTGAGCTAAGAACCCTTTCCTTTGGAGAGGACTATTTCTTTGCACCTCTGTTTAGTTGGAAAATAAGTAACAATAAAGAATTTTAGGGGGCTTGGGATGTGTCTCAAGCGGTAGCGCGCTCGCCTGGCATGCTTACGGCCCGGGGTTCTATCCTCAGCATCACATACAAACAAGGATGTTGTGTCCGCCGAAAACTAAAGAATAAATATATATATATTTTTTTAAAAAAAGAATTTTAGGGTGCTGGGGATGTGGCTCAAGTGGTAGCATGCTCGCCTGGCATGCGTGCGGCCCGGGTTCGATCCTCAGCACCACATACAAACAAAGATGTTGTGTCCGCCAATACTTGAAAAATAAATATCAAAAAATTAAAAAAAAAAAAAGAATTTTAGGATTGCCACCTTTTTTATTATGAAAAGAAAAAGGATTATTAGGATTTGTGGAATAAAAGTGTAGAGGCTCAATAATTGTCTTTCTAATAATCTTGCTTAAATTCCTAGGGTATTGTCCACAGTGCCCTTTCTTTTGAAAAGGAGTTTTAGCTTTGAATCATGGAGCCGGGGTATAACCTACTTTCTATGGCTTTCAGTCTTGAAGAGTCTTGAAAGATACATCCTGAGGACATCAGATTACATTATGTTCAGAACGCTTTGTCAGGACCTGAAGGAAGATTTGCTGAATGAAGCTAACTCTTTTGGAGACCCTGGTATCCAGACCCATTTCAGACTACTATCCAAGACTGCAAAATGCCAAATGCCAAGCTGACCATGTATTGTGCTAAGACCCTTTAATTCAAAAGGGTGAGTTTAAAAGAAAGAAACCAGGAGAAATCATCACTTCCTCAAATCTGATTGAAGGTTGAGAGGGATCAAGGGAAATTTCAATAGCTCTCAGAGGAAGCTGGTCCACAAGAAAACAATGAACAGAGACTGAAAGAAAAGAAAGGAAGCCATGCTGATTAGCTCCCCCTGTGGAGAAAGTCTCTGCCACTTGGCTTCCTTTGATGAGATTACAGACTTCTGAATCTTGTTCCCACCAGGAAGGTAGACATTGAAAGGACATCCTTCTCTGTAGGCAAGGAACACATTCTTTGTCTTTGGAAAAGGACACTATTTTGCTCTCTGGAATGACTTGATCATCTTTTCAGCTTTGAGATCAGAGCTTTGCTGTGGGAGGTTCTGAATGAATCTAGCCTAAAAGGAAGCTCAGGTTTTTCTGGGGAAAGTTGCAATAATTCCAGAGAGCCCAAATAATTACACGATTATTTAATTTTTTTTGAGTAATTCATCAACAGGGCATCTGTTAATTTGTATAGTATAAGTCATCTATGGTTTCTGTCCCCTTCTTTCATATATACTCAACTTTCATCTATTTATAGGCTTTCATACTCTCACAGTGGGACAGATTTAGAGATAAACAGACCCAGTCTAAGGAGGACCCCCATTAGTGACTTGTGATCATTTAAATCTACCTTAGAAGTTATTAGTGTTGGGAAACATTTTTGGTTACCTTAAACTTATTTTGGAATTTTCTGTCATTAATTCACCATCTTCCATATATGCCCTCCTCTCATTTCTCTGGTCATCCCAACCTTAGACATCATTCAAGGCCCAGTTTAAATCCTACCACTTCCTTATACTGAAGATAATCATGTAAATGTAAAAAATCCAATAGCATCATAAGATCTTAGTTACAAGCAGAAGAGAATGTGGAGTTCTAGTACCATCTCCCCACTTTACATATGTGGGAATAAGGAGAAGGGGGGTGAGAAAGCAGGGCACAGCTCTAAATATCAACATCCTTTTTTGTACATTGTGAATGGTATTGTTTTTACCACTGCAAGTATGTCTATATTATTTCTCTCAACTCCAAGTTTTTTGAGGGCAAGGATTATCATTCTCTTGTCTATATTTTGCATGGTGGCTAATATGTACTAGGGTTTTTCTAAGTATTATAAAATAGAACTTTTTATAATAGAGTGAATATTCTATGATCTGCATTGTCCAGTATGAAAACCACTAGCCAGGTGCAACTTTGAGCACCTGATATGTGACTAGAGCAAATGAGGAATTTAATTTTTAGACTCATTTAATTTTATTTTATTTTACTTATTTTTTTTAAAGAGAGAGTGAGAGGGAGAGAAAGAGAGAGAGAATTTTTTTAATATTTATTTTTTAGTTCTCGGCGGACACGAAATCTTTGTTTGTATGTGGTGCTGAGGATCGAACCTGGGCTGTACGCATGCCAGGTGAGCGCGATACCGCTTGAGCCACATCCCCAGATACCACTTGAGCCACATCCCCAGCTCCCTCATTTAATTTTAATTACCTCCTATTTAATTTAGACACATGTGGCTAGTGATTTCCATATTGAACTGAGTAACTTTCATTCATTTATTGATTCCCAGATAGTGAATAAAAATTAAAGTTCATTTGTTGATTTGATTGTACTTTTTAAATGTGCTCGAAGTAGAATTATAGAGGTCTACATGGCGAGGGGCAAAGTCTCATCTCAATTAAACACCTCTGGAAAAGCAAAAGCACTGGCTCAAGGTTGCATGCTTGATTAGGGACAGAGCAGGCATCAAGGCCCAGGCCTGACTTGTGGTTTTTACATTTCTTTGTCATAATTCCTTAGGGAAAGGACTCAGAGGAGAAATTAGGTAGTAAGTGGAAGAGGAAACCAAACACAAATTACATACACACAATGAATGAAGATTGTAGACAAAGAGGAAGAAAAAATAAGGGAAGCCATACAAAAGTAATCTGTCAATATTAGTGAACAGAAACGAAGGAGGAAAACATTAAAAGCTCATTCTTTCATCCATGAGCCTGTGTGTAAATGAAGAATTTTCTTTTAGACAGGAAACAATGTTACTGTAGTAAATCATGGACTTGCATAGGTATACCCAGGATTGTCCCAGGAAGAGAACTTAGGGGCTACTGAACCGTGACAAAGTCCTCATACTAATGAATTACATTCCTCAAAATCATCCAAAGAACTGGATCTGAATGAGCATGGAATGTTAATGTCTGGTTCACCAAATAGAGATAACAGTTTCATCTGACCCAAAGCCTCAGTCGGTCAGCTCTTTATCCTTCCCTGTTGTCTGTTGATCCCACTTTATCCTTCCTCTTGCTTTGCAGCTGCTCAGTGAAGAGGGACCTTGCTGAGGAGTGTTGAAATTGATGGCATGTGAGAGACCCTGGAAGCACAGACCACTGCTGGAAGGAAATCGTTTGAAAGACTAGAGTCCAGCTGCCCTTTCCTTGTGGACTCTTGATAATCTTAGCAGCATCAAAAACCTTCCAAGAGAAAAATAACTGTTTAAAATATGTAGCTTATTGTTGAGTAAGAGAAGCAACTGATCCCCAAGAGCTCAGTGGTATTCAAAATAGGAAGTTACATTTTTATTTGCTTGTTTCATAGTATCATGTTTTCTAGAAGGAAGGAAAAACTAAGACTAAATTGTAACAGCATGATCTGTAGCATTCATTTTGATTCCTTATGTCTTTTTCCACTCTGTTAGAGGAATGAAACAATAATGGGATTTTCTGAGCATGTAGAATATTTAAAATTTTTGTTTTTATTTATTTTTCCCTATTTAAGGGCTGTTCTGTTGTGTCAGAAGCATAGCAAACTTTTCTTTTGCATCTTCAGTGCTACTTCATTTGTTGACGTGGAACCATTCTCAAAGTCACAGGTACTAGTTAGGATGTATCTGTGTGGTATTGGAATGTACTGGCCAATCATAATTTCCTTCCAGATCTCATTACCTCTCTCTTCCTTGTCCTTGCTCTCTTCTTCACAGCCCCCCATTTCTTATTAATATAACATCCCTATGATAATTGCATTTGATGTTATGTCCAATCCTTACATGATTGCTCTTTTCTACACCATCTCATGTCTGTTTCTCTCTTTCCTATTTATCGTCTCTACCTGAAACCAGATTGTTGTTAATTTTCTTTTTCCTGTTACCAACTATGCACTGCCCCTTAATAAATTATTCTAAAGACTAGACTAATTGAGGGCTGGGGATATAGCTCAGTTGGTAGAGTGTTTGCCTTGAGTGCACAGGCCCTGGGTTCAATCCCCAGCACCCCTCCCACACCCCTACCTACAATATGGCATTATGTGGGCAAAGATCTGGTAACACAGGACTTTTTAAAATAATATAAGCTATTATTAATTACAGTGTAAATTTCTTGCTATGCTTCTGTTAATGTTAAATGGACATGATGTTTTGATGAGAAGATTCAGGATATATTAATAGAAGTAAGAAAATAGAACAAATCTAAATGGGAAAAATAAGTAATTAAAACAATTGTAACTCATTGGAATTGTGTAATAGAGTCATGAACTTTGGGGTTGGGCAAACATGAGTTTGAGTCTCAGCTTTGTCACCAACACTGTGTAACTTTGGACAAGTCATTGAGAGTTGGTTTCTCCACCTGTCAGACTGGGATTAATAATATTCCCACAGCAGGGCCATTGTAAGGACCAATGAGATAAGTAAATAAAAGCATATGGTGCATAGCTGACATTTGATAAATGCTTATTTTCCCTTCCTCTCAGAATAAATAGCATGACTGATCCATCAGAAAACCCTTTGGGTATTTAGGTGTTTAAAAGACCAGAATATGATTTCTTAAGTGCCCAACCAACTACCAGTCAGTGATGTAGGCCTCAGGGAGAATAGACCCTAGTTTTAAAAATGCATTTAGACTTGAACCCCAGGTTTACAAAAGGATTTTTAGATCCAATGTATGTCTTATGACACATTGTCTAAATCTCCATGCATATTCAGCTAATCACATCAGTTCATTTTGTGGGCTCACAGCCATCATTTTGTTCTTTTGAAGATTGAGAACACTGTGTAACAATTTATTTGTTTTAGGGGTATCATTAGTTGCTATCAGTGCCTGCTTTGTAAATTTTGTGAGCTATAAAATATACTACTACATATTCCTGGGGTGTTTTTTTCCTACTGAGAGTATTTAAGTTGAATTTTTAAAAATAGTCTGGGAGGGAAGATGCTGGCAATGAAGCAAAGCATTTAAAATTTTAAAAATAAGCCGTGTATTTATAGCAATTATATCAGGATGTTATTAGTGATTAAATATAGTCTTATAGAATAATATATCCAGAGTGAAAAAATGCTAAGCATTATAATACCCTAGCAATTTTTTACTAGTTTTTTTTTTTTTTTATGGAAGATAGCTTATGTTTTAGGATGGATGAAGCATGACCTACTGCATTTGCATCAATTTATTTAGTCTATAGGATAGAGTGGAGTGCTTATATTGCTACTTTGTCATTCAAATTTAGTTAAGGAATATGTTTTTAGGCTTTTTTAAATTCTTTTTAGATATGGTCTTGAATAAAAAGTAGCAATACCCATTTTCTGCAATGGTAGAATACCCTCCCTGCCATTTCCCTTCCCTAGGCTGTGGAGACATGAGATAATTCATTGCCTGTATATCTTGGGCCATAACTTTATCTCTCTGGGGAGAATTCAGTTAATTAGCTGAACTGTCTTAACCTCAAATTTGCTTCTGTTTAAGGGGGGGAAAAGTTGTATCAAGACTACTGTGTTTGTTTATGTGTTTTATAGAAATTACTTCATTTAATTGATTAATTGGTATAGGCTTGACTGTCCTTATTTCAGAACTGAAGAAAAGCGGGTGTAGAGTTTTTATAAATTATCCTACATTACAATCTCACAAGTAAGAAAGTTGAAATTACAACTGCATCTAACTAGATATAAACATACGTACTTTCCAAGGCAGTAGGTTACAGAGGCTTTACATTGATTTGCTTAAGTTCTCAAATCACTATTTTTATGATTCAAACATTATGTGAAGGTAATAATGATTCAGTCCCCTTTTTATGTTTGCAGTAGGTTTTGAACCTAAGGGCATTTAACCATTGAGCAACATCCCCAGCCCATTTTATTTTTATTTTTTTTTATTTTGAGACAGGGTCTCAGAAGATTGCTTACAGCCTGTTAAAATTGCTGAGGCTGGCTTGGAACCTCTGATTCTCCTGCCTCAGCCTCCCAAGCTGCTGGGATGAAAGGAATGTGCCATCATGCCCAGCTCAGTCTCCTTTCATATCCCAAAATAGGAAATACAGGGTAGAAGAGCTGACTTGAGGTATCTGTCACATAGTCAAGTGGATCAAATATCTGGGACCTAGGAGAGAGAGAGAGAGAGAGAGAGAGAGAGAGAGAGAGAGAGAGAGAGAGAGAACGAGCCCCCATTAGACACAAGGTGCTTTTAATCTGGCTTCTAATTGTCCTGTTTCCCCCATTCTTAGTAGTCTATGGGGTTGTGATTTAACATCAGGCAGATTCAGCTCTGAATAAGACAAATAGAGGCAGGATGTCTAAGAGGCTGTACCATTAAGAGATGTAGGTAGGGGCTGGGTTGTGGCTTAGTGGTAGAGTGCTTGCCTTGCATGTGTGAGGCACTGGGCTCGATTTTCAGCATCACATATAAATAAATAAAATAAAGGCTCATTGACAACTAGAAAATATTTTTTAAAAAAATGTGAGTAGAAGTCAGCCTTGGCACTTACAGGTTTTCCAAGGCAGAGATTCTCAAACGTTGGTGTGTATCCCTGGAAAGGTAATAAAGAATAGAAACCCAGTATGATAAAGCCCGAGCCTCTGGTTTGTTCCTGTCATTGTTTATTTATTTATTTTTTTTAACCAAGTTCTAAAGAAAATTTTCTCAGACTCCAGAGTTCAAGAAACAGCCTGAACTGTCGTTTCTATCTCGAAGCTAAGCAATAACAAAAACAATTATATAGCCTTGTTTTTAATTTTTTTTAAAGAGAGAGAGAGATTTTTTTTTAATATTTATTTTTTAGTTTTCGGCGGACACAACATCTTTGTTCATATGTGGTGCTGAGGATCGAACCCGGGCCGCACACATACCAGGCGAGCGCGCTACTGCTTGAGCCACATCCCCAGCCCAAGCCTTGTTTTTATTTAGAAGGATATGCTGTTTATTTGAAACTTAAATTTTAAAATGTTTTAAAATTGTTTGCCATTATTCAAATGTTTTGTAACTATTCAAAGTTGACAAATATATCCCCACAATGAAGTTTTCCTAAAAGGTCTCCATCTTCCCACTTCCCAGGGGTGAAAGGATGAATTTGTCTGGGACATCTGAGAAACTTTTCTTCTCAAACTTGGTTTTCCCTGTGGGAAACAGAGTGAGGGAAAAGCTCTGACCTTTCCTGGAGGCAACACTTAACACACATTTTGGAATCTGAGGAGCAGCTGCCAATTTCACCTGCAGGCAGGAAGTACACACTTGTTAGCTACAAGGTTTTAAAAAATAGTCTGTACTTGGCCAGATTACAAGGGACACTGTTGTTTGTGGCATCAAAAAAGGAAGGGGACTTACATGTGAGTAATCCTTATTAAAGGGGATTTTAGGAAGCTGGACACTTGAGAAAAGCAGGCAACTGTGAAAAGAATATCTCCTGCTTACCTTTGTAAAAACCAACAATTACTCCCAAATTGGGTTGGGATTAGATAAGGCAATCAGTTGTAATAGAGTTGATATCTGGGAAGGAGGAAGTTTGAGTCATTCAGAGATAAACCTCTTATTATGATTCCTTTTCCTTGATCATCTTTATCCTTCCACCTCACCCCTACCTTTAGGCATGGGGGGAGGGGGGGTTAAGGAAGGAGTGACTTTGGAAGTGCTCCTTAACCAGGCTTTTGTATTCTTTGTCCCTGGCCCATAGGCTTTCTCATCAGCAGGCTTCCCTGCCCTGTCATTAGGCCTAGTGGCAAAAGAGCCCCATTTTCAGGAACTGACCCATGCCGAGAGCAGGTCACCTCAGATGGAGGCTTGCTGCTTTATTCGGAGGCTTCTGAGATTCCCAGATGTTGAGGCAAGATGCAAATATGGGGGAAACCCTTTCATTGCTCCTCTGTTCATTTCTTGATCATTGGAAGAAATGGGGTTCTGTCGCATGACCAAACACATGGCTTCCTATGGACACGGTGGATTCCTACCTTACACAATTACAATTGCAGAAAGAAGCTCTTTGCAAGAGCAATAGCTAATTCTCTCTGAATGTTACTACAGTTGAGGAGAATATGCATTTTTTTTTCCTGCTCCTTTATATTTCCCCTTCACTTATGCTTAAGAACAGGTAATTGGAGCAGGGCTTCACAGTGTAATCTTGCCCAAAGGCTAAGCTTGCCACCTAATGACACACAGTTGTTCTTCTTTATTGAGGCCGTCTTACACTCATTATCTCTAAATTAGTTCCCTTTTCTCCTTTGCTTTATTATTCATCCACCTCCTCCTTTTTCACTTGGATTTTTCCAAGTGAACCATGACAAAGTGTGTCTTTGTGGAGTTGTGTGTCTGTGTGAGTGAGTGTGCCCCCTACCCGGACCCCCCCTCCTCGTTTACATGAAGTGTTTATTTAAGCCAAGGCAGTGGAAAATTAACAACAATCTTTGGCATTGATTGCTTCATAATGATCTCGCATCAATCCAGGGAGGAAAATCTAGCTGAAAGTGAAGGAAACTGAAATTCAGTTGCAGGGTTTCCCTTGCCAAGGCCAGATGCAAGCAGCTGAATTACAGAGAAAAGAATTGAAGCCGGTTTTTGAATGAAGACTGTGAGAGTGCGCAAAAGGATAATTAAAACTTTAACATCCTGTTCCATCAAAGAGAAGTTTTATATACTATCCATGTAACACTATATCCAGTTACAGATTAAAAAGGAGGTAGAGACAAGAAAATACTCAAGAGGCTTCTTTGTTCAGGCTGGGGTTGGAATCCCTACTTTACTCTGTAACTTAGTATTACCTAGACTTTCTGAGTCTTGTTTTCTTACCTCAAAGAGGGACAATAACAACCACCTCACAAGTTTGTGGTAAAGATGAAAGGAGATAAAATTAAAGGTGCTTGATACAGTGTTGCATTAGAGACAACAAATTATATTAACAATTGGCCATAATTTTAAATTTCTTTACAATAGACTGAAACACAGCTTAGAAAGTTTTGGCTTAAAAGCCTGGAAATAGGATTCAAGATTTTTTGTTGATGTTGTTTTTCTTTGCTAAGACCTT